CGACTGATCCGAAGAGGATGGCTACCCAAGGGGGTGCTTGGATGGTGCTTGGGCGCAGTTGTCAGCAGGTTTGCAGGATCGGACTTCCCTTGCCCGGTGAAGGTGAAACGCAGACAAATCTGTAGTGGGACAAGACAACGGAAGACTTGGGGTGGAGGCATAGGCAGCTTAGCTTCTTTTTCCCTTTCTGTTCTTGCATGTTCATGTTTCGTTATTTCTTCTCTTTTGTTTTTTGCAAAAGCGGTCACTTTTTAAATGGCTGCGAACTCTTTCATTGAGGAACCCGTGTAAGACTGGGTTAATGAAGCTGTTCAGTGTCCCGGAAGAGATTAGAAACCGACTGACTGTGGAACGGCTGCGCGGGAGACGTCAGCGGAGGGCGTCGGAAAATTTGGAAGCGTTTCTTTTAACTGGACTGTCGCAAGCCTTCAGATCGCGGCGTCAGGTCAGTAATTGTGGGAGAAACCGGAGAAAAAGAGGACCGGGTATGCGCGACTGCGGTAGTAACGTTTACATATGAGGCAGGGACTGCTTGGAGAATTTGCCGCAGAGGAAGGAGAGCTGGATTCGTGGTGAGGCGGGCGATAATTGCAGAATGTGGACTTCAGCGAGGAGTTGAATCTTGAGAGGGCTGGCCGGTGATGAGTGCTGCTGGTAGGAAGGCAGGGGATGGAGGCGCTGGAATGAGAAGCAGGAAAAACGGGCTGATCGAGGAGTGCAGGGGAATCCTCTGTGCTGCCGAAGGTACTTCTTCGAAGCAGAAAAGTTACAGGTCCGAAGGTGATCGAAACGCGAAAGAAAGCACGGGCTTGTGCAACGCGAAAAGATGCACCCGAGTATGCAAAAGTCACACGCGAGGGAGAGAGATATTGCATTTGGTATTTATAGTGTTTGGTGGAGGAAGGACGAAGGGAGTGATTGCTAATCGCTGACGGCTGGGGATGATTGAGCGTGGTTGTTGTCATCCCTCCCGAACTTAAATTAAATAAAATCCATTGCAATACATTGATACATTTGACATCTGAAATGCTTATGCATGACAAGTGCGTGCACTTCAGAATCAAATATGAAATTGTTCATGTGCTCTGCCACCCTTCTTCGCTGCATATCTTAAACAACAGAAGGCATCTGATAACTAGGTGCATGAAGTGCAAATATTAGATGCTTCAGAAAGTTGTTCTTTCCCAATGGTCTTTTCAAAATATTTAAAAGTCCAAGCTACATCTATCCAAAATCCTTAGTCACCATTGCAAGTTTCAAAAAAGTGTCTTAATGGCAGTGTACACTCCAGTGCAAAGTATTGCTCATACCAGCATCTTTATGCCTTATCCTGCAGGAGGATGTTACTCAGGCTGTCCAGGTTGTGTGTAACAAATTGAATTTTGCTTTTAAATTCGTTTGCAAGAGACTTGTCAAAAAATATCAGGATAAACTTGTGAATGAACTTATGACTGATGATGGCCCTTTGGCACCCTGTCAACACCTTAAGCTTTGCAGGTGAAAAGGGCAAAACATGTCCATGTCCAACAGTCACATATAATTGTTACATTGTTAATACAATCTATTGCCTAACATTGTTTCAGACCTTTCCCCATGGTTGTTTTAAATGGTTTCTTGAATAAAAAGCTAGTAAAGAGGCTTGTTTCTGAGCTGTATGAGTATTGAATATCCTGTGTTATTTAATTCCTGCAGGAGTCCAATGTGAGGAGAGGTAGCTCAATTGGGCTCACTGAACCTGCTCAAGCAATGTCTTTCATGAGATTCTTGGATCCTGGATCCTCTTACTCATTTGCAATATCTGAGACGTGCTGAAAAATCTAATGTCTTTGAAAAGGTTCTTATGGTAATGTGTAACAGTCACAAATATGAAATAAAGGACCTGAAAACTAATGTTTTTGAAGATATTTTTGGTACACATATTTGCATTTTGCCTGTTATAACAAATTGCCTTGGTTTGGTTTGTCAACAACAAAAAAACAATATAGAATAAGATAATTACATTAGCTGTGCTTTATTTGCATATGTATATAGATACAACACATTAGAACTTAATATTTGTAGATGCATGCAATAATTACCTGGATATGCACCTGTATCTAACTCCTCCTTAAATTGCCACATACTTCAATTATCTCACTACTACACAAGTGCAGCTGGTTTCCAGAGACTTACAGATTAGTTCTCTGCAAGTGATTATTTGAAATTTTCTGTACCAATTACCCTGTATGTGTCAATGAAATGAAAATGTCAGCAATGAAAATTGATATTTCATCTTTTTTTATCCATCATGCATAAATGCACTTTGCTCTCAATAAGCAAAAAGACACTGCAATCCATACTAGTTGTAAACGGCTGATGTGTTTTTGAGTGGTTTTCACACCTTCCTGGAAATAATGACCCAGATAGGAATTAAGCAGAAATGTAGTTTACAGCAATGCTGCTTGTTATGGGGAAACATAACATAAACAT